GAGTCTGAGGATAAGAGCAGGAAGTCGAGGGTCAGAATGGAGTGAGCATGCTCAGTGTCCACAGTCCAACAGCAAAGAGCAGAAATATTCCTAAAAACGGGAACACTGGGAGCAGAACCAGCCAAAACACCGCAGTGATCGCCGAATCCATCAGACTGAAGAACGGAGCGTGAACAGCGGCGGCCTCCGAGGATGATGGGAAAAGTCTCAGTAAAAGAGGGGAAGGACGACCTGAGCTGAGGCCGCTGACCTCAGCCAGGACACCTGCGCAGCCAGCTTGGTTGACCGTTCCCACCTCAGCACCTTCTTACAGGTCATGTCTGAGATGAGAGTCTGTGGGAGGGGCTACAGCCTAAACCTGAGCAGCGATTGGCTGCCAGTGAAGCGAGCCTTGGTACCACTTGAATAAAGCTGGTGCTGTTTCCTGAAGATGGTGTGTTATTCTGTAAGTGTGATCCTCTCCTCCGGCTTCACCCTGAACATCTAGGATGTCCTGTGGTATTTCCGACAGCAGCAGCTCCTTCGCTCAAACAATTGAATAGAAGGAAGCGCTGCTGGCTGACTTTTTCCTCCCTCAGAGACGCACTTCCTCCAGCCCTTCAGTCGAGCTCGAGCGAGGCCGGAGGACGCAGGAGGAACATGGAGGTCCCGCTCCTACTTTTCTTTCTGCTCTGGAGATCCAGCTGTGCGTGTGAGTACCGAGTATCGGGTCGGGCTGAAGCTTCGGTGTCGGGAAACGAACGTTTGATTGTGAATTTTACTGATTTTATAGCAGGAACAAGTAGAGAAGCTACGACTGACTCTCTGATCACACCAGTGTGTTCAGACTCTTTAATCAGAAAAAACTTTCTCAGTTTGTCTGTTTATTAAAAACTCTGGCTCCTACATTTCCCAGCACGCACTGCAGTGAAGTTGGGAAGAAAAGATGAGATAAAGTAGAAGGTGGATCCTTTGATCACCTCCCAGCTGTCAATAACATTTCAGTAATCGATTGCAGAACGTTGACGTGAGACCTGAAGGTTGTGGACATCTTTGTGCCTTCACGGCGGCTTTGAGTCTTTCGGGTCTGGTTCTGTTCAGATTCTTAAAGATGTGACGGCAGAATCACAGACTGTACGTGAAAGATGGATGTAGCCTCTGTGACATCACCGTCTGCTTTGTCTGCTTTGGTTCTCAGGCCAGAATAGCTGAAGCGTTCGGAGCAGCTTTCACTGCCTTTTACGGCAGTCAAAGCTCGGCTTCATCTCCAGGAACACAAACTGACGCATGCCACGTCGGCGGAGGAAAATGGTAGAAAGGAAATAGTTGGTACAGGAAGTGAGATCTTTACAACCCTTTAGGGTTAAGCCTTTACACACTGGGCGTGTAAAATCTGTGTCAATATTTTTACTTGCCTTTTCTTAATGCAGCCATTCACACCAATGTGCATTTTCACTGCACGAATTTGCGGCATTTTCTTGGATCTTTCGGATCTGACCAATCAGGTCACTGCATCTGGTAACAAGTGCGCTCATAGCTCAAATCATGCATGGTGCTGAATATACAAGTATCTGGAAATAAGGGAAAAATTACTGATTGACCTCAGACATGAGGCGAGACCCTGCCACGGCTCACTCGCCGCCTGGTTCCTCGGCCTCCTCAGTGTGCTCCCATCTCTGCTAACAGGAGCTCCAACATGTCTGAATGCCATGCGTCCACCCTTAGATCGAACCATAACATCCTCCCTGCTGCTGCTTTGTCGTGAGGTTTGGATGAGCCCAGCATCTGCGATGCTTCCTTCTGTGGTTTACTAACTTCTGGACGAGCTCTTCATGTCTACTTCATTTTTTTCCACAGTGTGTTTTTTGACTTTCGGGTGCTAAAACGAAAGTTTTGATTCTGAAAACTGAAAAAAGAAGAGTAAATCTGTACGTTCTTTGTCAGCTTGGTGAACGTGCTGTGACAGCCTGATGAAGCGTTGCACGTCACACTGAGTCGGATGATTTAAAAACTCCAGGTTTTACTGTAACGCCTCCAATGACACCCCGAGCTCTCAGCTCTGTGCAGAGCACTTCACAACTGTCAAACCAAGAAAACAAAAAGTCCAAATGAGGATTTATTCTTCAGGCAGGAGCAGGCGGCTCTGGCTGCCCGAAAGAGAAACTCCTCGTCCCCCGGGGTCCAGCTCTGGGACCGCTGCTGTTCATTTCACCTCCAATAACAGCAGGATGGAGCAGACAGGCGTCAGTTCAGAGTTTGTTTATCTCGGTTATAATAACAAGCACGCATGCTGTCTGTGCTGGGTGATCATGGCACCTCAACGGCCTGCTCCCCTGCCACACGCTCGGGTCGGCATAATTTTTGCGTGCTGATATTCAAATTCTTATCAGATTCAGAATCGTGTTTATATATACAGTTCAGCTGTTTAGGAGGGAGATGGTGAGGGGAAAGAAACTGATCCTGTGTCAGGTGGTCCTGGTCTGCAGGCTTCTGTACCATCTGCCAGAAGGCAGCAGGTCAAAGAGTGTGTCCAGGTGTGATGATTTTCTCTGCCCGTTTCCTGGTTAATTAGAAGTGCAGGTCCTGGATGGAGGGCGATTATTGATGGGGCGTTTCCAGTTCTCTGCTGTGCTGACTCACACTCAGGTGTAGAGCAGGTGTCCGTCCCAAACGTTCCCGATGAACCTGGAAAAACACTGAGATAACTTCCGACTGCAGATGTTGACGGTGTTCTTGTTCTCCACTTAATCTCTAATAACTGAAATCATTTACAGTGTTTCGTGGGAATGACAGCATTACTAACACGTTACTTTTTCAGTAACTAGTAATCTAACTAATTACTATTTCTATCGTTACAACGCCGTTACTGTTACTATCAAGAAAATGCAGACGTGTTACTGTTTGTCAACACACAGACGGGTGAAGCTGTCTTCAGCTTACTGGGAGCTGGGTTTAGTCATGGTAAACCAATCACATGACCATTTAACATTAAATAGGAACTAGACGCTGTGTCAACCCAACCCAAGTGGTTACAAAACACACACCTGAGGCCTTGGCTACATTTTTAGGTAAATAGTTCCTCATAACTTTGTTGTTTAAAATTTGTGCATAAGTTTTCAAACTTTAGTAGGATGCACCTCCACCTGCGGGATCTGAAAACACTCACAGCCACATGTTCGGGCTCAGCTGGCTCAGACCGAAGAGCTTCAGGCACACACATTAGTTTTGTAGTTGGTTTGTAGGTTGGAGTAACTGGGCTATAAGCTCTAAAAGCAGCGCAGGTCAGTCTTAAGTGTGTCTGTCATCAGTGGGCGGAGTCCAGGTTGGGCTGAACTTTAACGTAAGGTGTTTGCGTTCAGGATTAACGCGTGATTTCACTAATCTGTAAATGTGACAAGTCAGAGCCGCTCTTTATATTCTCACCTTTCTTCTCACTTTCAGACACATCTCCAGCCACCTCCACCTTTTCTTCATCCACACCGCTGGACCTGTCTAACTCCACCCAAACCATCAGGAGTCCTGGGAACGCTGTCACGGAAAATCTGTCACCTCCAGATGTTTCCCCTGCAGTCACCCACCTATCCCCTTTAAATGGCACAGCTGCTTTTACCATGGACCAGTCAGTCGCCTCGGAGACCTCGTCAGGTGGAGGTGACTCCCTAGTCAGGACGGAGGTGGTCACGTCGTTGTACGAGTCATCGTCCTCCATCGCTAGAAACCAGTCCGAGTCGAGCGGAGATGGAGGCGTGACGCTGGGTTCCTCACGTGTGAGCACAGGTGGAGCAACAGACATCATAACTGAGCTACAACCCAAGGACGGATCCACACACCAAACATCTGCAGCACCCTCAGACAGCACCGCCTCAGCTGCACCCACCACCACCACTCCTCCACCGTCTGCATCCAGCACCAGCACATATAGACCACCCAGGTCTCACAGCCAGACCCCGCCCACAGACACAGACTACACCCTTCATCCAAACATCTCAGAGAGTCTGACTCCAGGAGTATTATCAACAGCACCAACAGGTGATGCGGTCCCTGCAAGTAGCACCTCAGCTCCATCAGTCCCACAAACGAGTACAACAAACACCAGCACCACTGCTGCTGTAACCACACCCTCTACGAGCAGCATAACAGCGCCTGCTCCAACCACAGCCACCAAAACCACACCTCCTACAGCCACCAGTAGCACCACCCCTGTCACAACTGCAGAGACTACAGTCGCACCATCAATAACAACACCAGCAACTACACACACAACCATCCCTCTGCCAGCTACAACAGCCAGCTTGACACACACCATCCAACCCTCCACTCGTGCCTCCACTCCCGCTACAACTGCAGCAACCACAGCCACGAACCCGTCTCTAACCACAGCCGTCGATACCACACCTGCCACTGCCAGTACCACCACAACCACAGAGACTGCAGCCACACTATCCATAACAACACCAGCAACTACACCTACATCCATGGCACCATCTCATACCACAGTCACCAAAACCACACCACCCACCACTCCCAGTGATAGTTTCCCAGCTACAACTGCAGATAGTAGAACCACCATGAGATTCATAACAATCTCCGCTACAACCACTCCACCTACGACCGCAACAGCATCTCCCGCTACAACCACCCCACCTACGACTGTAACAGCATCTCC